CACTCCCAGCTCCCTTTCTGCCTGCCTGCTCTCCAGACACTCTGGCCCCAGCCTGGGGAGGCTGACGGGGCTTCTTGTGGCCAAAGGGTAGGACCCGGCCCTTGGCCTGCTTGAACCTCATCCCCTTGCAATCAGCCCATGGATCCAGCTTGGCCAGGTCCCTCTGCAGAGCCCTCCTGCCTTCCAGCACATCAACACACCCCCAGCTTGGTGTCACCTGCAAATCTGCTGATGGTTCACTCGATCCCCTCATCCAGATCATCAGTAAAGACATTTAACAGGACTGGGCCCAGCACTGATCCCTGGGGACACCACTAGTGACTGGATCCCAACTGGATGCAGCTCCATCCCCACCACTCTCTGGGCCCAGCAGAGTTCCTAACCCAGCACAGAGTGACCCTGTCCAAGCCTTTTCCAGGAGTTTGCCATGGGAGGTGCTGTCCAAGGCTTTGCTGAAGTCCAGGCAGACACATCCACACCTCCCCCTCACCCACCAGGTGGGTCACCTGGCCATAAAAGGAGATCAGGTTGGTCAGACAGGACCTGCCCCTCCTAAAGCCGTGCTGGCTGGGTCTGATCCCTTGTCCATCCTGTAGGTGCTGTGGGATTGCACTCAGGAGGGTCTGATCCCCTGGGCCATGGTGGTCCAACCAGGAAGGGAGGTTTTCCTTGTCCCTCCTTTTGCTGTTGATGCAAATGGGGATAAAGGGGGATAAATGGGGGATAAATGGGGCGAGTTGAGAGTAAAATGGGGGGAAATGATGGGGAAAGGGGAGGAAATTGAGGGGAAGGGGGAGGTTGAGGGGAGAAATGGGGAGAAATGGGGCAATTTGAGAGAATGGAGGGAACTGAGGGGGGTCAGTGAGGGGAAATTGGAGAAATTGGGGGATAAATGGGAGGGAATTGAGGGGAAATGGGGGGAACTGAGAGGCAATGGGGGGCACTCGCACCCCAGAGCTGCTCCAGGGACTGGAGCTCTGGGAGCTCCCGATATTCCAGGATCCCCCTGCTCCTGAATTCCAGGATCTCCCTATTCCAGGGGTCCTGAATTCCAGGATCTCCCTGTTCTGGGAGTCCTGAATTCCAGGATCTCCCTGTTCCAGGGGTCCTGAATTCCAGGATCTCTCTGTTCCAGGGGTCCTGAATTCCAGGATCTCTCTGCTTTGGGAGTCCCAAAGCTCCAGGATCTCCCTGTTCCTGGGGTCCTGAATTCCAGGATCTCTCCGTTCCTGGGGTCCTGAATTCCAGGATCTCCCTATTCCAGGGGTCCTGAATTCCAGGATCCCCCTGCTCTGGGGGTCCTGAATTCCAGGATCTCCCTGTTCTGGGAGTCCCAAAGCTCCAGGGTCTCCCTGTTCCTGGGGTCTTGAATTCCAGGATCTCTCTGTTCTGGGGGTCCTGAATTCCAGGATCTCCCTGTTCTGGGGGTCCTGAATTCCAGGATCCCCCTGTACTGGGGGTCCCAAAGCTCCAGGGTCCTGCTCTGGGGGTCCCACTTCTTCAGAATCCCCCCACTCCCAAGGTCCCCCTGCTCCAGGGGGGTCCCGCCCCGGCCTCCAGGATCCCCCTGGGATGTTGGGAATGGGGGTGTGTGGCTGGATGGTCCCGGAGCTGCAGGATTTCCTCAGCACTGAAGGGGGGGGTCCCCGCTGCTGCCTCCGGTCCTGACCCATCCCGGGGGGGGGCAGGGGGCTGTGACCCACTGGGGCAGGGACCACAAAGGGTGTGGGACTGTGGAGTCCTTTATTCCCGTTCTCTCCCGGTTCATACAGCCCGTCACAGCAGCGGGAAGTTCCTGTTGGTGACTTTTCTCTTTATCTGCATCTCAGTTCAGTGTTCCCTGCCCTTGACAAAGTGACAGCGCAGCAGTTC